TTGTGTAATTAATTAATCTTAATGAACTGTGTTAAAGTCCCGGCCCCCTCAGCCTTAAACACAGTTGTATCTTTGAAGGATATCCAGTAAGTGGATAACATAAATGTGAGAAACAATAGAACATAATATAAACGAGAGCTCACAGACATTCACATTAACAAGTTTGTGTGAATCCATTTATAATCATTTAAAAGTGTGTTTGCAGTTTCATATGAAACCCTTGTAGGAGTAGTGTATTTACTGTGCATTAGAACTGACTGAAGTGTCTCCAGTCGACAGTCTGGACTCTGTAGAAAACCACACAGATCAGACAACTGCGAGAATTCAGACAGATCGTTCAGACTCAGGTCCAGGATGTGAGATGTGAGGGGTTGGCAACTCCAAAGCTGAGGCACACAGAGGAACAGCTGATCTCTGAAATACCCCAGTTCAAACAACCATGAATAAAGAAAACATGATGTAATAGCATCGTGATCTTATAGACTACGATACCAGCTGAGGATTTGCTCGTTCTTTGACTATTCTGATGACAGAACATGTTCCAAATGTATACACTACTGAACCACACGTGTCATAGATTAAAACAACAGAGCAAAGCACAGTACTTCTCCTTTAAGATATAATAAACCCCTTCGCACACACCAGAGAAACGTCAAGAGTCCAAGAAGCACAGGGACAGGATTCAAGGGGGGGGTGCACCAACGTCCACTTCTAAATAATGTCCTGAAGTCCACATAGCGAGCTCAGGTTCATGACCAAACAGCTGTGGCCACATTCAGGCCCCTAAATTCTAGAAGCCTCATATCAACTACTGACCCATTTTTACAGATAAACTAATATGTTTAAACAGTGATGCAATCAAGGAAACACTCACTTAGTGAAATGAATAAAGTAATGAAGAATGAGAACCCATTTATATATTTAATTCTAGAATTACATACACCACATGAGCTTTAATACTAAAGGCTTATATAGTGAATCATCACCTTGTAAAACAGTGGCCTATAGTTTGCGTCGCGACAACACAGAAAAGTTTTTCCCTGATGTTGTACTTCACAGCTGGGTCTTATTACAAAACGTTCTAAGCCTTAATAATCTATGATGGATTACTTCCAGACCCTGAAAGCTCCGCCCACTTCCACTCTCTAGTACATCTTGATAAACAAGACCACTGTTTAGTGCTAAACTGTAATGAGGTTGAATAATACAATATGGTTCATTTTAACCGGATCTGCTCCTCTGTGTCATCAGGAGGCACTTGCTCCCACCTTAAGTTGACGATACACAGCTCTCACAACCATGCGGATCCCTGAGTTTAACATGAATGACACTCAACCTAGAGAGGAGAGCTCACATTGAGTGACTCACCGCCGTCCAGCACACAGCAACAGACCACTTGAGCCACCAGTTCATTACTACTCAGATCCAGTTCATGAGAAGGGAGGGGCTGGAACCAGCGCTGATGCCACATCAACAGTCGTATCCTCAGTAGAGTCTACAGTCACACAAACTGTAAACAGACGTTAGGAATTAAATATGTAAGAGTCGGATCGGCCTTGAACAAGTTCTGTGCGGACTGACCAAAGCCTTCCTGCAAAGTTTTTCCTCACAGCAGGGATCAGTCTCCTACAACCTTCTGCAGACAGTGTTGTACGTCTTTGAGTTCCAGTTCCTGCAGGACCTGAGTCTGACACTGCAGCATGTAGTGCCAGAGCAGAGCACTGGAACAACAGACAGTTCGTCTGCTGAGTTCCCTTCCAGACTTCAGGAGAAGCTGGATCAGCTGCAGGAGAGACGAGTCCTTCATCTCCATCAGACAGTGGAAATGAAGAATGCTTCTGTCTGAAGACTCCTCCTCTGAGCTCATCGCCATTGAGGTTTTCGAATGACTTGTGATAAAAAATTTATAAGATATCTGACTGTTCCACGTAATCAGCAACCTTTTAAAGTCTCAGTTAGTAGTCCAGACTGAGCCATGAAGAGGAAGCACACCAACCGGTCCAGGCGACCAGATTGAACCACTCAGGATTTATCAAGTAGACTATGCTGAAAACTCACTGCCCTTAACTTTGTCTGATCTTTTCCACAGAGACACTTCTCACCGACTTGCATGTCCCTTCCAAAGCATTGCAGAACAGTTAAACCGCTGCCATAAACACCTTGACACTCAGTTGGACGCATCATGTAGACAGATTAGGTTGAAGACACACTTTCTTGTTTAGATCGCTGTACAGAGAACCTGAGTAGACCGAGGCCACGGTCCATGGTCCAGTCCCACCTGCTCCAGGTCTATCTGATAGAACATTATGTTTTCCTTGCAAGGCAGATGTCAAAGCCAGTCTGCCCACTTCACGGGAGGATGACTGCAACTGTCGCGACACCACTGTGATCATTGTTCAGCTTCTGAACCTGACCAGACCAAAAAACTGCTTTCTCTGCACGGGACATACAGGTCTCGGTTGGTATTTTCTCTATCTGTTGGTCTGCACCAATAGCACAACGTACCTTCGCTGAGAGTCTGGGGCAGCGCTCCGCTTCGATCGGTTTCTCAACATTTGGAGTCCAGGACGGTGCGGTGATACCACCAGAAGATGGGGGATCTGACACTTTATTGGAGGCTGCGGGAGCTTCTGATGTTGGACAGGACTGTCGTACACTGCTCTTCAATCTGTGAACCTCTTGCCTAAGTACTGCTCTTCTGACGCTCAGGTGATGAAGCCTCTGACCTCTGAGACTCCTGTGCACACTCTGTGCTGGGATCTGATTTGCTGCAGCTGTCTGGAGTGATCCATATAAGGGCAGTAGGAAGCAGAGTGCCTCTATAGGCTTCACTAATCACACACTGACGTCTGAGCTCTGTGAGTTGACCTCAAGATGACTCACAGTCAAAGTCCAACCCATCTGCTCTCGCCTGGCACGTCTAAGATGAAAGGAGTTATAGAGACGGACAGAGAGTGTGGAGAGAGAGTCTGATGGAGCACAAAACATGACAGTTACCAGTCATACATATGAATGCAGAGCAGATTCTGAGCATGCAGCATCAGTGACATCAGTTTGACACCAGGAATGACGTGTGTTTTATATACGTTTTATTAAGGTTACTGAATTCAACCCATCAGCTGGGCTGGGAGATAGGAGTTTCTCATTGTGTTCACACTATAATAAATGTTTGAAAGTAAACACTGTGAACTGGACTGAAGCAGAAGATAAAGCACCTGTTTTTACCAGCGCTGCGGTGAAACCACTTGTATGAGCTGCATCAGACTGTAGCGCTGCCCTTATCACAGTTTCATCTCTCAGAAGGACAGCGGCACACCAGCTCCAGCTCCTGTTCTCTAGCTCCCTGAGCCCATTTCAGACAGAACTTCCAGGACTGAGAAGGTCTTCCCCACTCCAGCCACGCCCAGTCAGCACTGCTCTGATGGATCTGTTGAGCGCCCCCTGCTTGCTCCTCAGTGGGCTATTTTTTCTATTGTGCTTTAAAGATTCCTGACACCTGATGAGGTTTCCTGCACAGTCTCTGGAGAGTTCCCACAGCCCTGACCCTCATGCTGTGGCAGTCCTTCATGGAGAGTTCCCCAGCCTCTGCTGCCCTCATGCTGGGCAGTCTTTCTTTGAATTTCCCTCCAGCCCACCGCCTCCTCATGCTGGCTGTGGTGTGTTCACTGAGCCCTCTGTGAATGTACAGCTCAGTGAAGTGCAGTTCAGAGGAGTACTTCCTGCTCCTTCTGATTCCCCTACGGCACACTCCCACATCTGCTGATCAGACGCTGTTTATGATCCTGCAGAAGCTTCTGGAGCTCTTCTTCTGTGAGAGGAATGCAGACGATAACAGTCATTTAAACATGTGTATTTCTTTTATATTTAATTCTATTCAGCATTTTTATTAAGAGCTTCTTCCCTGTTTCCAGAGTCTCCTTTTATCTGTGAAAGATGTAAGCTGTCTCAGCACAGTTTACTTCAGCTTTAGTGCCAGTGCCTATCAGAAAGTACTCAACCACCTCATGCAGTTTGGACTATTGAACACTATGTACATGGGATTCTTTGTGTTTGGAGATTCTAACCAAACGGCAAAGAAATCCTAAAAAACATCAACTTTTGTCATAGAGTATACCGAGATAGATTGACAGGAAAATTAGGAAAACCGTTAGATTAACAACTGTAGAAATGAAAATTAGGGATGCACCGATATGATCAACTTTGGCCGATTATTGATATCCGATATAATGTTTCATTTATGGCGATAACCATTAATTTGCTGATAACGATGTTATAAAATAATAATAAAAATAATTCTGAGACAGAATAAAGGCAGTACACAGTTTATATAGTCATTGTCACGTCAACACATCGAAAGACATACGTGTCACAAAGAGACAGTCACATCATAGTCATAACATGGAGTCCTTGTAGAGTCCTTGTAGAGTCCTGCACGTAGGCCATATTGCTATCTAATACTAACAATAGTCTTCTCAAAAGAAAATGTTTAACCTTTATCCAGGGAAATCCCATTGAGATTTGAAGATGTCTTTTCCAAGGGTGTCCTGGCCCAGAGACATTCACAATACTACCCTTGAAAACATTTACATAAAACATCAATACATTCATTTTGATAAAAAACATATACAAAATAATACAATAAAAAAACAATGAGTCATTGATTGCATTTCCAGGTCTTTCAGAAAAGCAAAATGTAACTAAAATGTTCTGTAACAGTTTAGGGCTAAACTTTCCCGTAGGGAAAATGGAATAGTATGTAAATAAGATGAAATACGTTTCTGTAATTGTGATTATTCTAGGGACGTATTGATTGTATTATAAATGTAATATTTGTAATTTTCCATATGCATTTATGATATCTCCAACCTCTTAAAATGTTGAGCTTGAGTAAAAAGAAAAATCTATTAATTGATAAGAATGGAGACTGAACCACATTCAGTCTCCATTTCTCCTCCTTTCTTTCCTTTGACACCATGAGATAATAAGTTTGCTCTTCTCAGCCCTTACGCTCAGATGGTTGTCCTGGGAGACCACCACATCTGGACACACGAGGGCACAGAGCAGCTCATGTCGGTGGATGCCATCTACTGGCACCAGAGCTACGACTATAAGACCCTGGACTACGACATCATGCTGATGAAGCTGGCTCACCCCGCCACCCTCACCCAGTCTGTGAAGCCCATCGCTCTGCCCAGCGCCTGCGCCTACACTGGAGACATGTGCACGGTGTCCGGATGGGGCAACATTTACACTGACGAGGGTGAGGGAATGTTCTCTTCAGGGTTTTACAGGTGCACTAGACACTCTGATTTATCACCATCCATAGCAAATGGGAAGTATGGCATCAAACCCATTCATCATCGCCAAGAGAGGTGATCTTTTGTTCCACCAACCATTTCAGATCAATTCCATTTATGTTTGTATACCCTTAAATTACAACAGCTGTCATCTCGGAGGACTTTACAAGGTTGTCTATTCCCTACTGACAGATCAGATAATCAAACGGTTTGAACACAGGAAATTCAATAATAACAAACACACACAAGGAACGGCTCAAAAACCCGGTGGGAAGAATTTAGAAACCACAGGAAAGCCCATACAATCAGGAGACTATATGATAAATTTAACAATGATATCATTATTTAAAGCTGCATTGAGCACATTTCCTTATGAAGGGTCAAGTTGATTTGGAAACACTACAGTGACAAGTCTAAGGTCATATCTGCGGACAGGTGATCACACTGAACGTAAGAGTCAGGTTTGTGAGCAGTAAAACTATAAGTAATGAAAGAATGTACAGGTTGTGTATCCTTCTGAGATCTTTCCCAAGCAAAGCAATGAGAAAATCAGTAAAGGACCCGACAATTTATTCTTTTTTGGGTTGCATAAAGTAGTATGTGTCTATTAATCTCTTGCTATATTAGCTTCATTGCTGTAATATTGCTGTTGTATATTGGAAAACCTTTTGCCCAAAACACTTCATATACTCCTTACCTTTAATTACTTACCTAAACATAATTTTTCCCAAACTTTAGGAAACAAACGCCTTCTCCACTTTTTGAACAAAACTCTGGTCTTATTTGACAAGCACGTATCATCAAAATGATTGACAATTGGGAGAACCAATAGTCTTGAGGATCCACCCGGAAGTGGAAAATCCTCCTATATACCTTTAAATACTCATTTCCATGGTAATCTCGAGCTCACCACATACCGACAAAAGTAGCTCCTCGTGCCTTTGTTGTAAGTGTATTTTGTGTCTTGTTGCAGTATTCAACCCCTTTAACCTCCAGTGTGTTGAGGTGCCCATCCTGTCTGAGAAGGAGTGTGAAGACTCATACCCTGGAAAGATCACGGAGCGTATGGTGTGCGCCGGATACTTGGAGGGAGGCAAAGACGCTTGTCAGGTTTGTGATCGTACATCGTACACACAGAGGCGGAGCTACAGGAAAGGACATACAGGACATGGGGCCTCACATTTCAAATGGTCAAAAGTAACACTGTGTCTGCCAGCTCAAGTGTGAAGATTACAGGTGAAAATACATCACGATTAAAGCTGCTGGTCCTTCACAACACAAATTATATCATTTTCTTAAACGACCAGTTCACATGAAAGCTTGCGTACCTAACTATTCTACCCACAAAAAAGTAACTGTGCAACCGAAATAGTCCCTACATGCATATAATTTTGGCCTATGTCGATCAGTCCACTCGTAGTGATTCACAAGGCTTTTTGTTATAAGTATGCATTTGATTCCAACATTGTACTTTTATTAATTTCAATTTTAAAGTAAACCTGCATTTGCACTGATAGAAAAGTGAATTGAATCAATGGGAAACTGAAAAAGACATGGATACTGCATAATTGTCTTTCTATAATACATTTCCAATCAGAAAAGAAAGCCAATTACACATTTACAAGTGTTCTCCAAAATTATGTAATGTGTGTATATTTTTTGTACTGGTTGGATTATTAGAATAGGAAAGCCTTTGTAATACTGCATGAGCTATTCTGATATTTGCGTCCCAGGGTGACTCTGGGGGCCCTTTGGTGTGCAACGGTGAGCTCCAGGGCATCGTATCCTGGGGTTACGGCTGCGCACAACCAAACTATCCAGGAGTCTACACCAAGGTCTGCTCCCTCATGCCCTGGATCGAAGACATTCTCAGCCGGTACAGCTAGACTCTCCCATCGAGACGACCGGGCGACACTCAAGCAATAAACAAATAAACAATAAAATGTCATATTTTTGTATTTTTGCAACCGTGTTATTAAGTAAAGAACCGAGTCAATTTGCTTCTGCCGTTGGGGTCAATAATGTGCAAAAGTCTTCTTCACTAATAGGATAATAGGAGTCATTGCTGCAGCTGCCCTCAGGGAGACTGACAGATGTGGCGCTGCTGATTTGGGCCATGACTTTGTCCTTCAAATCACCACATAAGTCAACTTGTATTTCATTGTATTTATCTAGTTATGTATTTGTTAATTTATGTATCTGTCTGTCTGCCTGACTATCTGTCTAAATGTCTCTGTCTGTCTGTTTGTTTGTTTGTTTGCTTATGTATTTAATTATCAATTTGACAGGGACTTTGCACAATATAGGTTTTGTACAGACTTGATATCGCTGCTACTTAGTCCCTGGGCAGAAGAAACGTGACAACAGGTCTACGGTGTGCAAAGATTTACTAATAATAATAATAATAACATATAAAATACAGGTAAAACACAAAAACGTGTATATGTAGTACACAATCCTTTGCAATCCGCCTGACAGCTGCACACTTAGTTATCTCTATAGACCAAATTGAAATAGTCCCAGTGAGCTCTACTCCCTCACACACAGTGGAAAGGGGTTCCAGGCCCCTGCTGATCTGTCTTGCCCAAGCACACAATAACAGTAGAACTACACTCAAACCTATTTCAGGAGTAGTGGACAAACCCGGTCCACACTGTACTGGCAGCAAATATTTGTATCCAACTATTTTAACACAAAGAATGAATGCTTTGAGCGGAGTTAGTGACTATTCTGTCGAGCTGCCAATCACAATAATGAAAAGCAGAAGAAAAACAAGCTTTTGAGCAAAAATACACTTTTTTTCTTTTGACGCCAGAGCACTCTTGAGCTGTGACATTTCATTCAAAGGAGAGAGAACATGTCAGCCTGTTGTGTCTGTGCAGGTAAACACGTTGTTAGCCAGATGCCTGAAATAAAGCGTTTATAGCTCGACAATACATTTACACTGCTGCTGCTGCTGCTCCTGCTGCTGCTGCTGCTTCTGCTGCTGCTGGGTGTATTTCTGTCACATAATAACTTTTGATACTTCTCTGGCATTTTGTCAGCTAACTGTCGTAAATTCATGTGCGCCAGTCCCTCTAAATGGGCCTCTCAAATGTGAAATATAACAGAAATGGTGAATCTCTAGGAGCAAAATTTGCCGCAAAAAATATGAAATGATTTTATTTTATTTCAGAATATTGTTATTATGAATACTTTCACTATTAGGTGGATATGGTAATTAGTTAGGTAATATGTTTATTTGTATGGCACAGTTCATATACAAGGAAACTCAAAGTGCTTCACAAAACAAGCACACAAGGCATTAAAATGATAAATAATCACAATACATTAAAAAGAGTCTAAAAAAAAAAAGCGCTGCCTCCCCATGTTTAGTTCTTACTCTGGGCACCAGTAGGAGGCCAGTCCCTGTGCTCCTCAGAGTTTGTGTTGGTTCATGTGCTATAGCTATGTAAGAGCTTGGATGTTTTTTAGTTTAATGCTGTCATGGCCCTTGTAGCATTGGGGTTGTGTGTTATTATACTGAAAGATGCGGTGAAGGTCACAATCTTGGAGGGGCACACGCTGACGAGGCCCTGGTTTGAAGTGGTTACATGTGGTCATGGTCTGGGTTTGTGAGGCCGGTTGAATGCACTATCCATTGAGACTGTTGAACTAAACATTGGCTTTATGGTCAAGAGCTCTTGTCCTTCCTGCAATTAGTATGCCAACTCATGCCCCCTCAAAAAGGGTGACATCTGTGTCATTGTGCAGTGTGATAAATCTGTACTTTGAAGATTTGTATTGAGACCACCCTAAGGCACCCCTAAACAATACCCATTAAATATATCAACAAAGGAGTAGAGCTTATTGAGCTCATCTGAACTGGGTGATAAAAACAGGTGACATTTTTGTAGTTTTGGAGTTTTTGGAGTAGATGTATTTGTTCACAGATGTTATCCATGTTGTACAGGGAGCAGCTCACTGGAGTCAATTGAGAGTAGAATAGGTAGTTGCAGTAATAGTTATGGGAGCTGGTAATAGGCCTAAGCATCAGAGCATAATTTACCATTTTCACCTGATGAATACGTGAGATTACTCCATGACTGTTACCTACACCTTATTTCAAATATATTGTGAAAGTAGATACATATGCTCAAATAATGGTTGAGTTTTATGAATGAACAATTCAAGGACATATACTTGAGTTCAGATTTTATTCACTGTGATGGTATTCAGGAATTTCAGGCTATCCAGACTTCAGAGATCGTGTCAGCAGTTTAGTAGCTGGCCATGGTGCTCTCCAGCCAGTCGTTGAAGATGCAGACCTGCACAGAGACACAGAGTTAGACAGAGAGCCTCAACACACCCTCACTGAGCGGGACACACTCATACCTTGGCGTAGACTCCAGGGTGGTCCCTCTCGGCGCAGCCATAGCCCCAGGACACAACTCCCTGCAGCTCACCGTTGCACACCACGGGGCCACCAGAGTCACCCTGAGGGAAGAGCAGGTCACGGTCACTACACAGGCGGGACACAGGGCTATGTGATCTTATTCTGTTGGGGGCAGCAGTGGACTGACCTGGCAAGAGTCCTTGCCTCCCTCAAGGAATCCAGCACAGAACATGGAGTTGGTGATCATGCCAGGGTAGGAGTTATTACAGTCTCTGTCGGACAGGATGGGGAGGTTCAGGCACTGAAGCTTGTTCTTGTCAGCAGCTGTAGAAAAACATTAACGCTCATTATTTCAGGGATATAGTTCTTGATCAAAGAATTCCTGAGCACTATGTATCTTTATAACTCATAATAATACATGATAGGAAAATGTCCTGTGTGTTACTCACTGGAGCTCATGGTGTTGCCCCATCCAGAGACCAGGCACATGGTGCCAGCGGGGGCACAGCTGGTGGGCAGAGCCACAGGCTGCACGTACTGGTTGAGGGTGGCGGGCCTGCTCAGCTTGATCAGCATGATGTCGTTGTCGATGTTGTAGGAGCTGTAGTTGGGGTGGCGGATGACGCGGGAGGAGCTGATAACCTGCTCGTTGCCCTCAGTCACCCTGATGTTGTGCTCTCCCATATGCACCTCAACACGACTGCAAAGCACTGAGGTCAGAGCTGCTGCTAAAGGCCACATTTTCACATTTCTGATACGTACGACTTGTAGCAGTGGGCAGCGGACACAACCCAGTTCTCGTTGACCAGAGATCCACCGCAGAAGTGGTATCCGGAGTTCAGAGACACCTGATGGGGCTGAGAGTAGGCCTTGCACTCATACCCTCCGACGATCTTGTCGTCCTCGGCGTCTGCCAGAGCATCACAGACTTAGCTTCAACAGTTTGTGACAGATAATGCTCATGAGTGTGAATGTACTTACAGGCCGCAGCAATGAGCAGAACCAAAACCAGACACCTCATGTTTGCTGAGTGATCCTGTTGATGAGAGGACCTCACCTGGACACCTGCTATATATGCTCACAAGCCACCGGTGGGGAACACCCCCAAGAAACGTTAAACCAATCACAGCCTGAGAAAAGACCAAGCTTATTTTATCTGAAAAACAAGTCAATAGACAGTGTCCTAAGTTTAACCTTTAGCTTGGCATTTAGGTGGAAATTTGGTCTTATGTTTCGAATTATGGATTGTGTAACAAATTTTTTGGTACATTAAGTAAGATTCACCATAACTGTTGTATGGCCCTAGTACTGTTTATGTAAAACTTTAAATGTCAATATATTGCATTGAGATTTCTTTAGAAAGAGATGTAGAATAAAACCACAGGTATGGGTTAGGTAATGATTATGTAACTAAATAAAGAAATTTGTGCATGAGATGAAGCCAGAGGAGGCGACTATCAGCAGCTCCACAGATGGCCTGATTCACAGCATCTGTTTTCACAAGAGAAGCCAGTGTCCTTGCTGCTCTTGTGAAAAGCCACAGTTGAGAGTACAGTACATAGTATCTTATAATATACTTTCATTCAAACACATTTCCACAAATACACCCAATTCTAAAAGTGTGATATATGTACTGTAGGTAAGTAAGTTGGTACTGTAAGTAAAGTTTATTTGTATAGGGCCTTTCACAGACCAGGAGATTAAAACATACAGATACAAATATTACACATACAAGTCAGATTTAAAAACAAAGACATAGAACACAGTTCACAGAGACCTATGTACAGTGAGACGAGAAAGCCTTTCTAAACAAATAAGTCTTAAAATGGGAATTGATATCAACGCCAGACGCTAACATGCGCAGACACTGAGGAAGCTCGTTCCAAAGGAGAGGAGCAACTGTGTCCTGGAAGGATCTGTCTCCTCAGGTTTTGATACGAGTGCGGGGGACTATCAATAGGGTCTGTGTGGAGGACCTCGGACTCCTGTTAGAGACATAGGGGTGAATCAGGCCCTGGATGTATTCAGGCTCCAGACCATGAAGAGCCCTGAATGTCAGTACCAGAATTTTATAATTGAAATTATAGGGAGCCAGGGAGCCAGTGTAAGGACTTCAAGATAGGAGAAATATGGGCTCTCCTGTGAGTGCTCTCCTGTGAGTGCTCTCCTGTGAGTGCTCTCCTGTGAGGGCGGGTCAAAAGCCTTGCAGCAGAATTTTGAACTATTTGCAAACATGCCAGATCTCATTTACTAAGACATGTAAGCAGGCTGTTACAATAGTCCAATCGCGAGGAAACAAAAGCGTGGACAATCATCTCCAGCTCCTGACCCGAGACCATCTGAGCTTGGAGATGTTGCACACGTGGAAGTTACAGTTTCTGATCAGCTGTTTGGTGTGTCGTTCTAAGGACATCCTTCATCAAAAGTGACTCCAAGGTTTCTCAGAATATTTTTTACTGAGCTTCTTAGGTCACCAAGGTGCTGACTAATAACAGGCAAAATGATGTCAGGGGCTACAACCAGCAATGTAGTCAAGATCATCTCCAGACAAAAACCAGTGTGTGGCCATTGGGTCTGAAAGTCTGAAAGTCCAAGACCAGGGAAAATAGGACAGTGCCTATGAAACTAGATTAGACCAATAGTGAACCTTTTTTTGGTTTCATGAATACATAATACATTTAGTTTCACTAGTTTTGTTTCCATTTTGAACTGAAAGTTTCTTGTTACATTCTGAGAACAAATCAGAATACAACATGCTGTTTTCCCCCAGAGCTGGCCAAAACTACATGCATGTGAAAGCTTGTGATGTTTAAGGGGCAGGAATTAAATATATGAATCATTGTTGTGTGTGGCACTGGTTACAAATAATAAAAACTAAAAAAGAATTAATTTGTTTGTTGAATACTTTTAACATTACATAGACCAATCTTAACACTTAAAACACTCAAATATATAAATAATTATTTGTTCATCTTTATTTATGTAGGGAAATGCTCAAGAACATGCCCTCTTCACATACTAAAATAGAACACAACACAACAGATTAAATAAAAAAATATTGGAAAAATTAAAACCTGTACAGTTATGTTTATGAAATTCTAAAGCCACTTCATTAAAATGCAAAAGCAGTTATTTTTAGAGCAAGGTGTAGTGTCCATTGAAAACGTTTTGAAATAGTTCAAAGGTGTGTTTGTCTGTGAAAAGTTTTCACAAGTTAAGAAATGTGTTTCAAACAGTGTTGTCTAAAGTGTGTCTTTACTTTTAAGAAAGTATTTAAAAACATCTGTGCACAGAGAAACATGTGGCAGAACAACAACAAAAATAAAAAAATACTAAATGTATAATGAATATATAGTATTCAGAACATTATATTGTTAGTCATTACCCATTCCAGAAATCTCAACGATTGGTCATCTGTTGGACCAATAGGGATTGAGAGCAGAGCGGGGCAGGTCAAGTGCGCGAGCATATATAGCAGGTGTCCAGGTGAGGTCCTCTCATCAACAGGATCACTCAGCAAACATGAGGTGTCTGGTTTTGGTTCTGCTCATTGCTGCGGCCTGTAAGTACATTCACACTCATGAGCATTATCTGTCACAAACTGTTGAAGCTAAGTCTGTGATGCTCTGGCAGACGCCGAGGACGACAAGATCGTCGGAGGGTATGAGTGCAAGGCCTACTCTCAGCCCCATCAGGTGTCTCTGAACTCCGGATACCACTTCTGCGGTGGATCTCTGGTCAATGAGAACTGGGTTGTGTCCGCTGCCCACTGCTACAAGTCGTACGTATCAGAAATGTGAAAATGTGGCCTTTAGCAGCAGCTCTGACCTCAGTGCTTTGCAGTCGTGTTGAGGTGCATATGGGAGAGCACAACATCAGGGTGACTGAGGGCAACGAGCAGGTTATCAGCTCCTCCCGCGTCATCCGCCACCCCAACTACAGCTCCTACAACATCGACAACGACATCATGCTGATCAAGCTGAGCAGGCCCGCCACCCTCAACCAGTACGTGCAGCCTGTGGCTCTGCCCACCAGCTGTGCCCCCGCTGGCACCATGTGCCTGGTCTCTGGATGGGGCAACACCATGAGCTCCAGTGAGTAACACACAGGACATTTTCCTATCATGTATTATTATGAGTTATAAAGATACATAGTGCTCAGGAATTCTTTGATCAAGAACTATATCCCTGAAATAATGAGCGTTAATGTTTTTCTACAGCTGCTGACAAGAACAAGCTTCAGTGCCTGAACCTCCCCATCCTGTCCGACAGAGACTGTAATAACTCGTACCCTGGCATGATCACCAACTCCATGTTCTGTGCTGGATTCCTTGAGGGAGGCAAGGACTCTTGCCAGGTCAGTCCACTGCTGCCCCCAACAGAATAAGATCACATAGCCCTGTGTCCCGCCTGTGTAGTGACCGTGACCTGCTCTTCCCTCAGGGTGACTCTGGTGGCCCCGTGGTGTGCAACGGTGAGCTGCAGGGAGTTGTGTCCTGGGGCTATGGCTGCGCCGAGAGGGACCACCCTGGAGTCTACGCCAAGGTATGAGTGTGTCCCGCTCAGTGAGGGTGTGTTGAGGCTCTCTGTCTAACTCTGTGTCTCCGTGCAGGTTTGCCTCTTCAACGACTGGCTGGAGAGCACCATGGCCAGCTACTAAACTGCTGACACAATCTCTGGACTGACAACCAACATTTACCATCTCTGTCAATAAAAATATGAACTAACTTGCTGTTTCTCATCTTTAATACTTGTCAATAGCTCATGAACCCAACATGGTTGAAAGAATGTAATAGTATCAAAATGATCATAATTACACAGTGTGACCATCACATCATCTATCTATAATACAAGGAATGTCTGCCCTTTATAATGTCCTGCACGTCATGCAGCGTCCCACCTTGGTCTTGCTCAGAGCTCTGTGTGTTCCCGCCCGTGTTGTTCTGTTGTTACGGTTTAACGGGTCTCGGTTGGAAATGTGTCCAACACATGTACTCGTGGGTTTTTGAGACCAAGGTCTTTCCAAGACTTTGACAGAACAGAAACACATTTTCACTTCAGATCCATGTTGATCAACAAAATCATATATGTGTGAGTGTTTGAATGTGGCAAAAATCCATAGACTGTGGACAAACTGAGTGCTGACGTCACCCACAGTGTGCCTTAAGGAGCGGATTAGAGCGAGCTCCAACTGGTTAAAGAATAGTAACTAAAAAGAGGCTCTCAGGATGGCCATTGGTTTGGGGATTTATTTGAATTGCAAACAATTCATCAAAAGATAAACACCAGGATCATGGTTTATCAAACACAGATTTGACTTCACAAATGACTATGTCACACACAGCTGTAGAGAGAGAAAAGTTGACTTTTTAAAATAGAGCCAAAGCAAGTGTGAGCACTTCCCTATTAGTTATCCTACCATTGATCAGTACTTTGGATTAATCAGGGCTGCAGTGTTGTGAGTTGGAAGCACTTTGTGCTACTAGGGTTGTTCTGAATGTGTCTAATAAACAAATGTAAATTGATTGAATGGCTGACTGTTTGTTTGAAGTGTGTTTGACGTATGGACTACATCGAAGCATGGACTTATCACTAAAATATCTCACTTTTTGTTTCATCATGAATACATTTGGTTTCAATATTTGTGTCTGGATTTTGAACTACAAGAATCTTGTTTAAGTCACATTGTGCAAACAAATCAGAATATAACATTCTGGGTTTTTTTTTTCCTCTGGAGCTGGTTGGCTGAGAAAGGACTTAAACTCTGATAAAGCTGATCTGAAGAAGTGACAGAGGCCAAGAGTAGATGCATGTGAAAACTAGTGATGTTTAAGAGCCAGGAACTAGTAAAGATTTGGTTAAATTGTTGATGTTTTCTTTTTGTGGTTTAATATACTGTAATGATAACAACAACAAAAATAATAATGACTGTGATGTTAAAAAATAGTTACAGTAAACACTGAAGTAGATCTAAACAGTAATTTGAGACATTAAGATAAATAATAACTAGGGAAACAACACT